AGCATGCGAAACAGTCAATTATTAATTAACTATTATAGGTAACAATATTTTCAAAACTTTTATATAATTAAATAACTCGTATGCATCACTACACGAGTAGTAGGCACTTAAATTCAAAATTGCTTTTACTCGTACATGACGAATAACTGCAGATACACTTTAAAAAATATAATTTGAACACTTTTTGTCGTATTGTACAAATCGCTTAGGTATAAATCCGCACGCATCGACCGTTTTATGACAATAGAAGTAAAAAAACGTAATTCAAAGTAACTTTTATTTCTCAGGTTCATTGATTATAATAAAGTATGCTATCCGATGAATAAAAAATATGTACTCCGATCGTATTGTTGTGCGAGCCTATTACACGTCTACGCACTTGTGTGTACCGTGTGTGAGGGTTAACTCAACAATATAGGTAGGTTGGTATAATATTATTACTGTCGGCATCATCATCATTCACATTGTCAGAAAGCGGAATGTGGTATCTTTAGATTACCTACAGAATTAATATTGTAATGTTAACACAGAATGACCTAAAAAAAAAAAAAAAATTAAAATATGTCGGTCACAATAATTACTGTATTTTATTGTACAGATATACCGAGGTCATAGTCGGATATAATATTTTATGTTTTTAATTTTTTTATTTGATTGTCAAGGTTTGATATTTATTTGACACGTATCGTTTTACACAAGTTTCGTCCATAATGAAAGTTTTATTTTAAAAATGTACGAACAAATACTTCAACACTACAAAGTGCACACAAAGTTTTCATGAAAATTAGGTCAACTTACTTTAACTTAAAGTTAGTTCATACTTTAATAATAATATAGATGTTTAGTCAGTGTTTTGTAAAATTTTGGACTTTAAGTTAGATATTACCACTCGTGACTCGTGAGTAAAGACACCAATAAACCAATACCAAATATATTAGTTAATGTATTATCATTATAGACCAATTAACAATAATAGGAAAATTAATATGTGAGACACCTTAATCAAAATTTAAATGTCGTTAAGTATTCAAATGAAACAATTACATTAATTTGTATTTTATAGTCAAAATATTATAGAAAGAATGTGAACATATTATATCGTTGCTATTAAGGCAAAAAAAAAAAAAATTCTGCATAAATAATTTTCTTAAAACCAACTGATTCTTATAGGACTTGAAATATATCAAATCCAATGAATCAATCTATATATTATTATATCGGTATAATATAGTATATTATATTATTATTACAGATGAACGACTTATGTCTGCGGTAGCGGCGTAATTATTTCATTACATAACGTAAGATTATAATATTTTTTTACTACTTTTTTTTGATTTATCATTAACAACTAATGAGATATTATGTCTAGTAAACAAAATACTCAACATCAATGGACTCGAACTACATTTCGACGAATTTAAATTTGACAATCAAGTCATTTGTATTAAATATATGTATATAACAATAGGATAAGTTTATTTAAATATATTATAGTATACCTACATTTTAAAATCGAATAACTACTAATGATTGGTCTATAACTAAATTAAGTACCTAACTATTAATTAAATACAATGTATGCGTACCACATATGAACAGGTATAGGATATTATAAGAAAATATTATTGTAAAAGACATATTATTTATTATAGGTACCTATTATAATTTATAATACATGTCAGTGTCAATTCTGATATTTATTATTTAGTCGTTGAAGTGAATGACTAGTTAATAACGAAAATGGCAATTATGCTAAGTTGATATAAGTAATAACATTATCTACTAACCATTTTAAATAATGTCTAAGGTCTAACTGTCTCGGTCAATAATGAAATATTTGTACACTTTAGTATTATACCCAGTCATTGTAATGATAGTCTACACGAATATAAATATTCTAGCTAATAAAAATAACTATCTCAATATCAAATCAAAATTGTGATGATTTTTTTCTTTTTAAATTCAATAAGGATTTAAATTTAAAAAAATATATCCTATAAGGTACCTAGCAGTATTAATTATTATACGAACGAGATATAAAATATAAATGTATGTAGTATATTATATTATTTATATATATATATATTATTTCAGTAAACGACGAAATTTAACTGCAAGAGAATAAAACGTAATATGAATGATTGGTTTTGAGAGAAGTCCTCCCTTTGGATTCAATAATTTTTTTTTTCTTTTAACTTGACTAAGTTATCACGATCGTTTACTCGTTATGTTACATTATTCAGTTTTAATTTCTAAAAACATAATATGACCTCCGGCAACCCCATGTTCGCGATATTAGTAAGATAAATGTATGTAAAATGTCAAACAACTCTTTGATTGCCAGGTAATAAAATAAATACGTACATATTATATTGTCATTGACAAGTTTAGTAAGTCGCTCTTTACTATTAATAGTCAAAATATCCTGATGAGTACCTTTCGATAAACTTTGGTATTTGTAATCAGAGGTTTATAAAACAATCTTCGATCTTTTACTTCGAGAGATTTTTTTTTTATTATACCCTACTTGACTTAGGAATAACCTCTTTTCACTTATTATTACAGACACTATTGACATTTTGGTGCGTTTCATTTAAATTTATTAGCATTTTTTTTTTTTTAGCATCATGAGATTGGTTTTACAGCAGTTAATTTATATAGAAATTGAACTGTTGTGTGATTAGGGATGAGTATTATAGTGTAGTGGTTTCTGGATCGGTCAGTACCCCGAGTTTGAACTGGCTTTGTAATAATACAACCACTCATAATATAAGATTAAATAATAATTTGGATAACAGCGACAATAGTTTAGTGACCATCGTCATTATCGTAATTTATTCAGTTTAACTTAAGTTGTACATAATTAGAAAATACCCATGATAGTAAATTATATACAACTGTCTATAATATTATATCAATGATGTAAATTATTATGAATATTACCATTATTTTCTAACATTTCCTGTCTATAAATTTTTCTACAATATCTGAATTTACATCATTGCCGCTAATGCCTGAACAATATACTATACTATGTGCTATTTACATATTATATTCTCAATATTTGGAATTAGTAAAAATAAAACGATTAGTATATAGTTATCTAATATGTTAATATTTTATACACGATGATTCACCAATCATGCTTAAAACGAGAATCATCGCTTTTTTACTGTAAATTGTGAACATTATAATTGATAAATAAAATGCATATTTTACAATTTTTTTATTGCTCACAAATCCTCGCCCTAGTATAATAATTAATAACTGTATTATTAATTACTAGGTATCATTTTTTATACTGTAAATTGTCAAGAGTATAATATTTATGACGGGATGTAACTATTGACATACCTATATATTATGTTTTGAAATGTTATAAGTGTTTTATAAGTGTTTCCTAGGTATGTGCAAGTCGCACATTAGACAGGTGTGGCGATGGAAATAAGTCCTAGACTGAATGACATATTGCACTTTATGTATAATCCTCGCCCTAGTATAATAATTAATAACTGTATTATTAATTACTAGGTATCATTTTTTATACTGTAAATTGTCAAGAGTATAATATTTATGACGGGATGTAACTATTGACATACCTATATATTATGTTTTGAAGTGTTTTATAAGTGTTTCCTAGGTATGTGCAAGTCGCACATTAGACAGGTGTGGCGATGGAAATAAGTCCTAGACTGAATGACATATTGCACTTTATCTATAATCTTTATTGTGTTATGTAAAACCATTATTAAGGATTGTCCTTACCATCCTTAGTACATATTATAAAGATCAATAATTCGGAAAGTGTTCATTCAAGTATTGATTTAAATGCATTAAAAAGTCCAAATAAAAAATCATCTGCTACACAATTTACAGTAGAAAAGATCTGTAGTTCTCATTGAAAACCGAAGTTTTTCACGCTACCAGACACTCCATAAATGGTATATAAAAGTTTACGTACCTATCTGGAAATATAGTCTATAAGTATACTTAAAAATTCCATGAACCAAAATTTGAATAAATGCGTTATTAAAGGGAGTGAGCATGTACGGTGAATCGTCTTGTATATATAATATAATATTATATGATATTTACTACAGCAATATCATTATTTCTATTACACAACGGGAATAGTGATTTACTCGTGTGTGTGTGTTTTTTCTATACCGATCTTTGTTTTGTACCTACATCTTCGTCGTCATTGAGTTCCATCTGAGTTTGTTATAATAATATTAATATATTATTGTTGTTGAGTCAGAGTGTTACCACACACAAGACGAAACGCATTGAAACAATACAAATATAATATAATATCACATAAGTACATAACATTACCATAGACAAATCGAATATAAGGTTTTTTTTTATATTATTAACTGGTTATCATAATACGTATAACAAGCAAGGCTGAGCTATGACAAGTTAATATGCAAGAGTTCGAGTTAAGGTAATATTTATTATGACTTGACGAGTTGAATACAATTTTGAATCGAACGATTCGAACCCATCAAGTCACCTCATATACATTTTACCATCATTTTAGTATTTAAACCAGGTATATAATACATAAGCATAGTCGTAATCTGGGGTAAATTCTTGGGGTGGGGGGGGGGGGGTAAGTAATAAAAACTCCAATCTGTAATGCAAAATTACACTATTGCCCACTCGGTTAAATATCTGTTTGCAGTTGCCCCCCTTCCAGATTACGACTATGTATATAAGTCGTACCCGCATAGTCCGCCACTATATTATTATAGACTAAATCACTTGAAAACAAATCGTTCTCAAATCGATGTAAACAAATAATAATGTCGTTTAAATTAAATAGTTTGTCAACAGGGTTGTTTAAAAATGTGAGGGACTGCAGCTGCATCAGTAGTTATATAAACATCATTAAAATCCTTATTGCAGTTTAACTCACCCAGCCTTGTGTGTATAATATGACTTGGGTATATGATAATATTATAGAGTTGCGTTATTCCGATCGTCGGACTCACCTGCCATGTACCATAGCCAACCATCGGCATGCTGCCACCGGAACTCAATTTGAGGTACTCCATAGCCTGAGTATTATAATAGTCACGTGTGTCTATAAAAAATTGTATTGTATTAGAATAAAAAGTGTGTATTATGTGCGCGAGCGGACGGACCGGCGACGACTGTGGCGATGGATGGGTAGTGTGTGTGTACCGGTCGATTACCACGGCAGCGGTCCACTCGACGTTGTTTATAATGATATGCGTGCGGTCTCGGGAGGCTTCTGGTACCATAGTGTGGTAGGTAGGTAGGAGAAGTTATTATTATATCGTACACACAATACGTCATTATACCTAATAAATAATAATATCGGCAGGTACGATCGATTTTTATTGTACAGTCCGAAGAGCGCGAGGTGCCGACGCGTGTAACGTTCTCACGGCTATACTGCTACATCAGCTGCAATATAACTTAATTTTATAATAATGTAAATTTTAATAATAATTAATAATATAGGTTAGTATTCTCTATTTTTACAATTGAAAAAGCGAGTGTACTTTGTATAACTACGATAACTATTATATATTACCTGCCTATAACTATAATAATAAGTACCGACATTATATTACCTATATTAGGTATTATGAACTGAAATCGAATAAAAAATATGAACTGATATTGTTGTAAGGGAAACCGACAATGGATCTGATAATAATATATTAGAGTATTATAATATATTGAGTTTTTACTTTTTTCGATCCTCGCAGATATTATATTAATATTATTGTGTTTGATCCATCTTATATTATTAAAACATTCGGTTGATTTCCATTAAATTATTTAATGTCAAATGAGAATTTATAAAATATCTTTAAATATCTTAACATGCAAGTAATTGATATCAAGATACAGAGTAGTAGAGTATCTGCAGACATTAATATGGTAGGTATTATGGTACTATAGTAGCCAGTAGGTATATTATATTTCATTTAAACTATTAGATGTTAACGGCTAATTATTATTATAATGATATATAGGTAGACTCTAAACAATATAATTTGATATTTTTTGTAAAAAATAAAATTATGGGCACTAGTTTCTCTTAGTTTTGTTTTTTAAAATATATTTTTTTGATGCTTCTAAATAATTTTTATATGGAAATAAATAAATCTTAACTTATTCTTTTTAATGATGGATTTTATTAGATTTCATGTTGTTTTGAGAGACTCAATGTTTTTAAATGTTTAAAATCACAATATTAAATAATATTAGTTATTTTTGGCAACTTTTTTGTTGAAAGACTTTTAAAACAGTAGTATTGTGGGTCGGGCAGCTATAATGGAGGATTAATAATGCTCCATGAATATTTTAATGAGGAGAAATCAATTAAAAAAAATAAAACCTTTATAATTTAGGAAAATAATAACTGGGTTAACAAAAATCGAAAACAAACTCAAGTTTTAATAAATAATTTAAGGACCATTTATTATTATAGAAGGTTACCAATAATATTATTTTTAAATATACCCACGTCCTATATAACTACAAATTCAGACCAACATTATTTTCAAAGTATCTATTTTTTCACATTTAAATATGAATAACTAATTAATATACCTAAAGATGTTCATTTACATAATAATAATATATCGATTTAAGTTAACCAAATAAATCAAAGCACTGCAACAATGAACAATTTATCGGGTCATTAGGAACGCAATTTATTTGTGCAATAACGTATTAGTATATTGGTATGGGCACCTACGTACATAATAAAATCTTTTAAATTCAATTGAATTTTGAACAACGTTTTAACTGGTGCTAGCAGTAACTTACATTAATTTAAGCAATTAACCGTATCTGGATATTTTATGACGTGACTTAAAGTCTCCGAATCAGGGTATTTCTTTTTTAAGAAAGTATGATATTGTGATGATTATAATTTAATGTCGTTGCTATGGACTTGTGGCATTTAATAATTAATGTAGATAGGTTATGAATAAGGTACCAATAGATTGCTCAGATATAAGTTGTTTATATTAAGTAGGTATCTTAAGAAAATTATAAAAGATGTAGATTATTGACTGAACAAAAAATCACAAACATTTATAATAATGAAATAACAATACAATACCTATTTATTATAATACCTCGATAATTAACATCTGTTTATATGAATATTAAAGAATATGGTGCGATGACTTATCAACGGACGTCAGACAGCCAAAACTGTGATATTTAGAGAAATGTACACAATACCATGTATTAAGGGTGTACTTATATCTTATACCTAGACTGACATACCGTCTCCACTCAGAATCGTTTTTCTTATACAATGATATTATATCATTGAATTCAAGTTTAATACAATCCATTATACAATGACCCACTTGTAACCTACTGTACAGCAGAGAGATATCCACTTACCCGCTTTTTTTTTTGTTTATAATTTATAAAATATATGGTTGCCCTTAGTTACATATGTTGATAGTTATAGTAGAAATTAGTGGAAATTAATATTTTTTGTATAGGTACTTGTAACGGAGCAAACTAACAAAAACGGCCCTTCTCAGGGCCACCACATTTGACATCTACAATATGGTCACAGACCTACCGTGACCAAAAAATGAACGCCCGACCAATCAGAAATAGGCGACGCTTAAAGGCTGATTTCTAAATACATATTTTAAGTACAGACAAGAAAAGGATATCTATGAATAGAAGAGATGACACCGATTACGTAGATACCATTTTGACCTTTGTAAAACAAATTCCGGCTAAATTACAAAAGAAACCGTGCCGACTGTAAACACACCAATCAGCATACAGGTTTACTAGTCGGTACGGCGACGGGTATATATACGGGTGCATTCTCATACAAAATCGACAGTCTTCTTCCACCTCTTCATATCTTCAACATCAATAGAACGAAGAAAAGAAGAACCGAAGACACGAAGAACCAACACCAACCAGCACGAGACTCCAGTCAAGAACGCCGACGAAGCCATTAATACCGCGACGACGATATTCTGCGTACGAGACGGCACCTGACGGCTGCAGCAATCCGACGGCCGCCCCGAATACAACTGTCAACGAAACGACGAAGACACTCGTGATACGAGTCGGCAAGAAGCGGCAATCACCAAGCACCGGTCTTGATCATTCCGCGACCAAGACTGTCAACATAGCCGCGAGATCTCCGCGACGTACGGAGATACCCAACGTCGACGGACATATATACCATCGACCGCGTCGTTAAGACGTACCGACAGCCGCCGACCTATCATCGCGGCCAACTGAAACGGTTCTTTTCAGAACCAACACCTTACGTGTACCATCCTCCGTGCGCCTATTCAGGCGGCACTGTGAGATAGGACCGCACCGAACACGACTTGCTAGAGTCCGTGAACGAGTGGTTCTAGCTCTCCACTTTCAATTATATAATTATTCATGTCAAATTGATAACACCCAATATTTGTAATTTGGTCGCACCTCTACAGGTCCGATACCGCCCGACACGGTCTGCTTACTCGAGCCAGCCGTGCGGCCCGGTCAATCCCTAACCACTGTAAATAATTAATTTTTAACATTGTACAATAAACTTTATGATACCGTAAACAATATTCTTATTTAATAAAAGGAACAGTTTGTCGAACATCGGCGCACTGTTTCAACTGGCGCCCAACTAGTGGCTCTCCGACGACATAAGAGAACATCGAATAACAAGGATAATACCTCAGTTAATAACAGCGTTTGCTAAATATTAGGCAAAATGAGTCCGAACAACAAACTCAAACGGAATCAGGGTACGTCTGGAGGAGATGCACAAAAAATTCAACAATTAGAGGAGAAAATAGAGACACTAGAAGATATTACACGACTACTACAGGAAAAATTTGAAAAACTAGAAAGCCAACATGAAGCATTACGACAACTCGTTAATGACACGGACACTAAAACAATAATAACGACAACACGGCAAAGTAAAGATATTCATACAAATCAGATGAATATAACAACTCTACAAATGAATGTGACAACACTTCAAAATACAAAAAATAACGACAACATTGTAAACACCATCACCAGACCAGCAGTTGATATCACAGCTCCCACATTTAGCGGGGAAAACAAAGAAGAACACCCGAAACAATTTCTTAAAGAAATAAAAAACTACTTAGAACATAAACAAATCACCACCAGAAAAGAGATAATGTTAGTTATAGAAAACAATCTTCGCGGAAAAGCAGCGAAATGGTATACAATGATTAAAGATGCGGCACTAGACGAAGCTACATTTAATGAATTATTCCTAAAACATTTTTTTTCCGAAAGTCATCAATGGGATATATTTATTAAATGTACTGAAGCAGGAAAGAAGCCGATTAAAAAGAATTTTCAAGAGCATTTTCATCATTGGATGGCGGAATTAAAACACCTTGATTCGCCAAAAATGAATGAGGAACAAGCAATTAACTTAATTACAAAACATTTTCCTATATCCATTCAGGCATATATACAAACAACAAACGAAAGAAAATTCCTACCGATATGGGAAAAATTGGGGGAATTAGAAAACAACATGAAGCAAGAAGAAGAACCAATAAAATATAATGAAAACACTCCAAAACAAATAAATACCAGGCAAAACAATACCTACAATAGAACGCCATACCATACAAATAATCAAAATTATAAAAATACCACGGATACACACAGGTCTTACACACAAAAACCATTACAACACTACGGAGGTAATCATAAGCCCAATATTAGACAACTAACTATGGATCAACCAGATTTTGACGATGACAACGCAACAAGCAACGAAGAGGGGATAAACGAAGATGTCGACAGGACAAAAAACTGGGAGCAGGGGACTGTGGGAACAGATCAACCCCAGTCATAAACACCCTTGGTCTAAAGCACATAACAAAATTAACAGAACAGAAAAAATGTCCACCAGACAAGTTAAATATATTAAATCTATTAAAAGCAGAAGATTTAATAAAAGATGAAGATTTCGATACCGCAATAAACAAAACGCAACAAATAGGATGCCCATATACTACCATATCGATAAACAACAAAGGGTATGAAATGTTATTAGACTCTGGAGCAGAGATATGTGCAATATCCGAAGAATATCACGATAAGATAATAAAAGACAACCCAAAAATACCAGTAATACCACTAACTGGACTTAGCATACATAACGCGATGGGCAACAAACCTACAAAAGTAACAAAGCAAATTTTGTTACCAATAGATATAGGAGAAGAGCAAATACAGACACCATTCATTGTAATAAACAATTTAAATGAAAAAGGTATAATAGGCAATGATTT